AATACAAAAGCTACTCAATGACCAATATGTTTATGGTGCTTTAGGGGCTGGAAGTGAGGCACAGATAAAACACATGAATCAAACAAAGTACTCTAAAGCAGTGGTTTCCAATCCTCATGGATTTCTAAGACCAACTTGAAAAAAGAAGTTAGAATAAGAGTAGTCAAATTTTAATTTAGCCACAACAGAGACTTTAAAAAGAAATATCATCTACCATTACTCTAATTTCTTATAACATATAACATAAAAGAGTCCTGGTGTGGCACTGTGGTTAGCACGCTGGACTGCAAGGTTTGTTTGAATTGCAAGGTCAGCGGTTCAAGCTCACTAGCCACTTCTTGGAAACCCTTTACAGGGCCGCTATGAGCCAGAACCAACTCGGTGGCACTTAACAACAAAAAAACACAAAAAGACCTAATTTAGTATTAAGGGAAGTTATCTTTATTGAGTAAATTTAGATTCACAAATACCTTATTATATAAAAGTACCTACATGTGAATTAAAGATCAAAGTGAGGAAAAGAAAAGAATCCATATGATCCCAGGAGAGAGAAGGCATTCTTAACTTAAAATAACAAATAAATAAAAAGCACAACACATAAAGTGATAAATTTGACATTATAAAAAGTTTATAGTTATGAAGCAGATTTCATATTTAAAGTGAAAAGGCATGCTAAAGACTGGACGAAGATATTTGTAAAGCCTAACAAGGATGTTTTCCAGAATACATAAAAAAAGTATCTACTTGTTGGTAAAAAAAAGATAAAAAACAGGCAATTCAAAGAAAAGGTGTATGAATAGCCATTAGATAGTCACAACCACAGAAGTAATTGGAGAAATACAAATTAATACTACAATGAGGTACTATTCCACACTCCTCAGATTGGCAAAAATTGAGACATCTATAAAGTATTTGTACCATTCACACAACTACTATGAGAAACCTGCTAGTTATCTTAAAGGTGAGCTAGTGCATACCCTGTAGTCTGCCAATCTACTAGAGTTCTTCTAGATTTATACATCAAGGCAGTTATTCTTATGTACAATGAATGGGGATATTCCTAAACAGAGGCCAAGGCTAACCGGCATTCTTCCTACATAAAGATATGCTGCTTCATGTTCCATGAAATTTGACTATTGTGCTGAACATTCATAGGGTGGGGGTGGAACACTAAGGTGAGATCATTATAAACATTACTTAACACCAAATATTTTTGTATTGCTTTAATAGAGATTGGGATTTTTAAGAGCGCAACCACTGCAGTTTGAACTTTATTAAAAGTAGTTATTTTATAAAATTCATGTATCATTAACAATAGCGCTACTCTAGGTTTCTGAATTGCCAATTCATTTGTTGTTATTAAGTGCTGTCAAGTTGATTCCGACCCACAGCAACCCTGCACAGGGTTTCCGAGGCTGTAAATCTTTATGGGAGCAGAAAGCCTCATCTTTCTCCCGTGGAACTGCTGGTAGTTTTGAAATGCTGACCTTGAGGTTCACAGCCCAATTCGTAACCATTATGCTACCAGAGCTCCTTTTGTTGTTGTTGTTAAGTGCCATCGAGTCGGGTCCGACCCATAGCGACCCTGTACAGGGTTTCCGAGGGTGTAAATCTTTACACCTGCTCTAATCTGTACTGTTGTTGTTAAGTGCCGTTGAGTCGGTTTTGACCTATAGCAACCCTATTAGGGTTTCCAAAGAGCAGCTGGTGAGCTTGAACTGCCAATCTTGTGGTTCAAACTGACTTTGCAGTCCAGAGCAGTCTTTGCAGTCCAGCGCACAGCAAACTGACTTTGCAGTCCAGTGTTATAACAGGCACTGTATTCAGTGATACTACCTCTTGGTGCATAGCATGACTATTTCTTCTAGCAATGTTTCTTACACTTTAATGTGCACAGAAATCATCTGGGAGTCTTTTAAACTTACAGCATGATTGGTTGGGGTCTGCATTTTTAAAAAGCTGCTGCTTTTTAGTAGCAACTAAAAATTTAGTAGCAACATTTTGTTGAGATGTATATATACACTGAAATACATTATTACTTTATTATATAACCTGTATATTTTAGTAAGGGTATTACTTTTTCAAACGTAAGAATATAAGTTTATTAATAAGAAATTTATTTCAGAATAGTAATGCAGTAGTTGTAAAATATTTTCTATAGAAATAGTATATAAAGTCAAGAACTACTGCCCTACAGGAATTCTCAAACTTACACTACTTAATAGCAAACAATTGAAAAAAACAAAACAGCAATTTGGTATAGTATAGAGTCCTGGTGTGGTGCTGTGGGCTACTTTGTCAGAATGCAAAGTCGTTTGAACTGCAAGGCCAGTGGTTCAAGCTCACCAGATGCTCCATGGAAACCCTATGTTGTTGTTGGTATGTGCTGTGGAGTTGGTTCCAACTCATAACAACCCTGTACAGGGTTTCCAAGGCTGTAAATCTTTATGAGAGCAGAAAGACTCATCTTTCTCCTGCTGAACAGCTGGTAGTTTCGAACTGCTAACCTTGTGATTCACAACCTGATTCGTAATCACTACACTACAGGGTCGCAATCGACTCGATAGCACTTAGCAAAAACAACAACATAGTCATATAGTGCACTCATATAGCATTAAACATGAATAAATTAGATCTACTGAGGCATTCTGCTTCCGTAAAGATTTACAGCCTCCGAAACCCTGTTCAGGGTTGCTATGGGTCAGAACCATCTGACTCAACAGCACTTTACAACAACAACAACCTGAAAAAACACAGAAGCAATTCAAGTAACTTTTTTTGGTTATATCTTATTTCTTCTCTAATAATCTAAAAACTCTTCTTCTCCAACTCCAACTCACAAAGTTGAGTTTGAGAGGCAAACAGGATAATGTATATGAGAAATTTTTAACACAGGTAGAAATAATTTTTTTATAACTAGTATCAATTTGTCATTCTATTTTCTTGCCAGCACTGACTCTACAGACACACCACAAATCTTAACATGGTAGAAATACTGAGTTTATCAATTCCTAAATTATGGCATATGGATAGGTATTATCATGAACAGAATTGTTTTTGTACATTAACTGTCCATCAAGTAATTGAATTAATAAAACCAAAACAAAGTGAGATATAGGGTTTTTAATGTACTACTGCATTAAAAAGTACTCTCAATTAACTTCAACAGAGCCAGTGTAACTGTTGTTTATATAGTTCTGATGGCCATTTCTGTGGTGAGCAGGTGCACATTTTATTAGTCCTATATTCCAAATGGAGAAACTGACTCAGATATGGAGTAACTTGCCTAGAGTTGTACACCAATTCAAAAACTTGAAACACACACTAATTGCCTAGTTCTTATATTCATTAAGACACTAAAAAAACTATTTTGCCCAAATGCTTCATGGGAATTTTGCTTTTCATAGGAAACTGAACATTGTCAACTTGTCATTTCACAGAAATTTCAAAATGGGCAAAGAAACTCAAGGAAGCAAACCACGTATTAACTATATAGTATTACTACACACCAAAGGACAGAATTAAACTGCTTAGCCTGCTAAAAAAGGCTAATCCTAGTACTAGAGAAGACAGGCCAAAATCTGCATGAAGGTGCTAATTAATTTCTCCCTGAATCTCAAATATATAGCAAGTATCTAATGAGAAGCGTTTTATTAATCTTAATACTTGAAACATGGTTTTACCTCCACGGTACTTTTAAGTAAAGCCACTCACTACCTCACCCCAAAATAAAAATTTATCAACAAGCAGAGTTGGATAGTATCGAATTAGAAGCCTGGACCATGATAATTATCAAAATATTGACTATGATCAGATATTGGGTATGTCACCTAACTGATTGCATGTTATAAAAATATGAAGAGGCTTTCACTGTAAATCTCCCATTAATGAAAACATATTAGTGTAATTCCAACATGTACCTTCCTTTCTACTCAATCATTGTCGTTGTTGTTAAGTGCTATCGAGTCGGTTCTGACCCAAAGCGACCCTATATAGTTTCAAATGCTGACACAAGATCTCCAAAATTCTTGTGCATTGGAGGTTCAAAAAAAGAAGAGATTAAAAAAAAAAAAAATCAATGAATCAACCGGTGCACCAAATACAAAGAAAATTAAACAGGTATACCTTTCATAAATTAAAGCCAAAATTTATTCCGTTATCCATCTTTTGCATATCGAATGATCACATATTGATTTAATCAAAGCATCGTTTTAAGGGAAAAAAAAGTATGTATTCTGATGTTGGCAGAAATTTCACCCACGGCTCTGAACATCCTAAAACAAAACAAAAAACAACTCCCCAAGAAACCGAGGTTAAACTGTCTCTTCTATACAACCTAATTTGACAGAACTCTCAGGCTGGAGGGTCAAAACAATTTTCCAACAGAAACTAATTGTTCAATTTCACAGGCGATTCCCGACGAGGCTGCGCTGGGGTTCTAAAATACATCAGATTAAAGTTCAGCCATCTACAGAGAAAAGAACCCTCCCCGCCTGCCAGACCGGAATACACACATCAAGCACCGTGAAGATTCAATCTAATCTAGGCTGGCAGACAGGAGAACAATCAGGAGAAAACCATTCCAGGCGCCCGCGAATCGCACAGGGAGTCAGGCAAGGAGGGGAATGTGAACCTGACCTCATCTTTCGTCCACTCAGAGAAGCAAAGGAAGGGCTCCCCGAGTTCGTCTGTCTGTCCTTTCCCCGATCCCCCTCACCCCCCGACTCCGGCAACCTCATGGATCGCAGGGACCCTCATACCTCTACCTTTCCCCGAGCTCCCAGAGAATCCTCTTAAAAATCCAGACCCGATCGGGGGTGGCTCCCTCGCCTTTCTCCCGCGCCGAGAGGGAGCCCGGTCGCCAACAACAAAGACGCCTCCTGCTCCCCTCCCCCGCCCGGCCCGGCCCTCCCGCGCTGCGGCGTCGGGCCTAGCGCCCCCTTCTCCAGCCCGGCTGCTGCTGCACCGCAGCGCCCTCGGCCCCCCGCCGCCCCACGCACCTGCACCAGAGGGGCCGGAGCCGAGGCGCCGGGCAGAAGGGGCCGGGGCACAAGCGCTGCTGACACGCTGTCCTCGCGAGGGCAAGATCCACGCTGCCGCCGGACGGCCCCCGCCTGCGGACTGCGGACAAGCCCGGCGGAGGAGGCGGACGAGAGCTGCAGCCCCCGGCGCCTAGGCGAGTAAGGACGGCGGCGCCCGCGGGGGCCCGGCTCGCGCTCCGGACTCTCACCTCGCCCTGCTCTTCGGCTCGAGCTTGCGTTCTGCTGACTAACGGCCCCGGCGCGAGGCGCTGCTGGAGCGGCCGCCGCCGCCGGCTGCTCTCGGGCCTCACGTCCCGCGCGGCCGTGGTCGCCGCCGCCGCCACCACCTCCCTTTCTGGCACAGCAGAAACCACCCAGACCCAGCCAGGTCTTTTTTTCTCTGTCTGGTTAATCTTCCTTTCTCTTCTCCTCCTCAGCCTACCAACGGTGGGGCTCACTCCCGTAACGGTAGGGAGGCTAGAAGAGAACCGAGGGGACGAGCAGAGTCCTCTCTGTGCCCAGGAGTTGGTCACTGACTGGAGGAAGGTGCCCAAACTGACCCGGGTTCCAGCCTACGAGCGGGCGGGGCGAGGGACAGAGCCAGCCTAGCCCGGCTTCCACCAATCACAAGCTGCCCCACAGAGTCCGTCGCGTTCCGAGCGACTGCAGAGGCCGAAACGACTCAGCAGGAGGCGGGGATTGCGGTAAAGAAGAGCCAATAGGAGGAATTGTTCCCCACCCCTCCATCTTGATGGATGGCCACGTTCGGACCAATGGGACAATGCTCATTTCGAAGAAAGCGGGACTTGTTCTCTGGGTTTGGAAGACTAGCTGCACGGAGCGGGTGGGGGTTGAGCCTAGACCTCGTGAAGCAAGCCTGACAGAGTTTGGGGACCGATGAGAGAGTCTTTTCACCACCGCGTAAAATCACGTGGGATGATCGGGGGCGGGGCGGAAGAGATGTGTAAGTTACTTCCGGGTCACGACAGACGTGTCAACTCAGTGGAGTAGTTCTTGCTCTCCCCTGCAACTTTCTCCCGGCGTGAGGTGGTCGTGGTTTCGGCGATGAGTTCCCAAAAAGGGAACGTGGCTCGTTCCAGGCCGCAGAAGCACCAGAATACGTTTAGCTTCAAAAATGACAAGTTTGATAAGAGTGTTCAGACTAAGGTAGGAGCCTGCCTTTGTATTGAATCTGACTCCAGGAAGGAATGGTTCAGCGGAAGGGGAAGAGAGCGAGGAAATGAGAGAAGTTGGCGAGAGCGATTGTGGACCGCTGCCCAGAGTTAGTCTTGATTACAATGCAATCCTTTCTAAAATAATGTTCCCACGCCCTTTCTTTGACCTGGATATGTTGCCTCGTTAATATGGCAGTTAACACTTACTTAGCTAATTCCGCAGATTCAAGGGACCCCCATCCCCAACCATCAAACCTAATTGTCAGTGGAGAAACTGAGTCATTGAATTCTTTCACGAGGATCTCATATTTGCAGTAGGAAAATGAACCTTATGGCGAGGTTGTATCTCTAGAAAATTTGCACCAAGTTTGTGTAGCTGTTTCTTTTTTTAAAGCCTCGGCTCAAACCCATAGGTTTGCAAAGACCGATTACACGCACTTCGCCTCAGTGCTCTCAACAGCATAGGAATGACATTTTTTGTCTTCTAAGATTGTTTTGAGAATCAAAATATTTGATTAATGTAAAAACGTTTGGCTGTTTGTAAGTCATTTTACTTATAGTCAAAGACGTTGGATTGTAACTACAAATTTCCTCTGGGTGTTCCCCATAAGAAAACAGAAGACAGGAACGTTTTTGGGAGCGATGTGGTTCGTAGGATGAGCACTGGACAGTGAACCACAAGGTTGGCAGTTCAAGTCCACCAACTACTCCTTAGGAGAAAGATGAAGCTTTCTGCTACCGCAAAGATTTACTGCCTGTGAGTCGCTATGAGTCCCAACCGAATCGCCGGGCACTTAGCAACAACAGCAATGGTTAATGATCTTGAGCATCTTTTCATGTGTTTGGAACCCTTGTGTGATGCTGTGGGGTAAGCACTGGACTGCTAACCGTATGGTCAGACTCACCAGCTGTTCCTTGGAAACCCTATGAAGGGTCGCCATTAGTTGGAACCGACGCCATGGCACTTAACAACAACACAAGAATCATATTAGATAACACCTGATTATCATATTAACTAGAGTTCAGATTTAGTGGGTGTGTGGCCTTGAGCAAGTTATTAATATTTATTTAATCTCTGAACTTTTCTTTGGTCTCAAATGAAAAACCTAGTATTGTTGTGAGGTAAACCAAATGATGTATGTAAAAGATCTGGATCATGATAGGTATTCAGTTAATGATTAATTTCTCAGCATTGATTAAGAAAGCAAAGTAATCTGTTCATAATTGTCTGTGGCCTCCTCGTTTTTTTCTTTCCTTTTTTGGATTCCTTCACTTACTTTGCAAAATTTTAATGAACGCTTACCATGATTGAGAACCTATGCTCATGCGTATTCAGAGTTAAAAAGAGTTGGCACTGCCTTCACAAAGCTTATAGTAGTGTTCTGGGACATACAGACAGTAAGTAAGTAAAAAGATATATAGTTAAAGATTCTGACAAATGCTGATGAAGGAAAAGACAGTTGTATAAGGAAGAAAAGGGAGATTTTTTTCCCCCCTACTAGAGGATTTTCAGAAGAAGCGCTTGGGAAGACTTTCCCTCAGTCTGTGCTTACTATTAATAGATAAAGCAGAATAAAAATCTGGTTTCAAATATTTATCTGCATCGAACTCTTGAACTTTCTCATAAGCATTTAATTTTGATTGCTTTTCTATCAGTTGGTAGAAAGCCATTTTAATCTGGATTTACCTACAGTTAACTTTTCTTAGAATTCTTGAACTAAGAAGTCTTGTACTTATCATTGTGAAGTTCCTTGTCATCTGGTCTTAGTATGTCTTCATGAGTCTCAGGTTCAGTTATTACACGTTTAATTTGATTACATTTACCTTGAATTCCTTTCTCTGTTGTAAGTCAGGGAGAAGTCTCGTTTGTTGACCACCACTGGTGATTGGAGGTTGTGACAGTAGCAGCAAGAAATGTTTTACTGAAGGAAGAGAATTACATTGTTAGTTGATCTAATGGAGAGTTCATAATTGGCTGTGTTCCAACAATTCTTTGTCTTTTTTTTTTTTTTTTTAATTATCTGGGTGATAGTTTATGGAGCAAATTAGTTTTCTGTTCAACAATACACACACATCTTGTTTTGTAACATTAGGTGCAATTCCCTCACTGCAATAGTCATAGCAGGTTTTTGAACCAACCATATGCAGTTATGTAAAGGCAGAATTGTGTCAGAAGCAACTGACCCTGTCTTCCAACCTGTAGTTCACACTAGAAAGTTATTTCATGCTGTGACACTAAAGGAGTGGTAAGAAAGTCATGGTGGTAAGTAATAACCCCTTTCAGGGTTGGAAGAACAATTGACTACCTCATTACTTGGTAGGGATAGGAATCCTACTTAATAGTTTCCCTTTTTCGCCTCTGACAAGCAGGACTTCACTGATGTTAGAAGTGGAATAAAGACAAATGTTTTATTGGGAAGTTTGTCTTGGTAGAACACCCATTGACCAAAAGCAGAGGTGATAGCTGTCTTTGTATGTTTCAGTACATTCAAGAAGAGGAGAAAACCTTGTTCTGTGGCATCCCAATGGCCAAATTGGACCAAAGGGTCAAAGTAACAGAGATTTCATCTCAGTGTAGGAGAATTGTCTAAGAGTGAAGGAGTGTATGCTAGGATTTTGCAAGCTCCCCTTTACTGGGGATATTTAAGAGAAGCCCCCATGGCCATTGTCAGGGATGTTGATGTCATATAATTTGCTGAGTGGAGGGGTTGTCAAAATCGCTTTGTTTCCCTTTTTCCAGAGGCAATGATGTGAATGAAACTAAGAAAAGTACCAAATAGCAACCTTAGTTCTGATGGTTATTTTGTTTTGTGATGGTAGCAATTTACCTATGTTGTTATGTGCGGCGGAGTCGGTTTCGACTCATAGCGACCCTGCACAGGATTTCCGAGGCTGTAAATCTTTATGGAAGCAGAAAGCATCGTCTTTCTCCCACAGAACTGCTGACAATGAGGTTAGCAGCCCGATTCGTAACACTACACTACCAGAGCTCCTTAATTTACGTATAGTGGACTAATATTATCTCCTGCCTTATTTTCCTGTCAGGATTATTGTGGGGATCATTACAGAAATATTTTGTGAATTAAGCATATGAAGTGTATGACGATTTATGTGGACCTGTGGTTGCTTTTGGGTCACTATGAATGGCAATGGATTTTTGGTGGCTGCTCAAAGCCTAAGATTTAAAAAAATTTTAATTAGAAAAGAAATGCATGCTTGTTGAAGAAATTTGAAACACTAGGAAAGTACACGTAAAAGTGGTTGTGTGACCAATACATCTGACCTTTAATTTCTCAAAGTACGAGGAAGATCAAGATCAATGGCTCAAGGCCGAACCCTATAAGGTAGAGATCAGACATAATCCATCCTTTAACCTTTTTACTAATTCTGACACCATCTGTCCCTCCGATAACTCTCACTCTTCTGTGCAGAGTTAGATTGTTACAGTGACCGCATAAGACTCATAGGTAAGTACAGATGCATATGTGGTTTCTTATGAGAGTAACAGGTTACACCTCTCTTTGACTGTCAGCAGGTGGTCCCTTGGACTCTGCCCTGCTGAAACAAATGCTCTTTTAGCTCTGCTGATAGATGCCCAGAGACGCTCCACTCCATCAGTAAGCTCAACCCAAAGTCCCTTACTTAGCTCTACCTTCAAGCTTTAGCAGTCTTAGTTCCACTAACTGCTCAGAGGTGCTCAACTTTCTCACTCTGTGGGTCTGGAAAGCCTACCATTCATTCTCTTGCTGGTCTTTTGGCTCTGCTGCCTCTGTTTCTCACCATCTCTTGCCGTCTCTGGTGTTATAGCTCTCTATCTCAGGATTGAAGAGTTTCTCAGTTCAGGCATCCCAGTTCTGAAGGATATGCTCCTTCCTGACTTTATTCTGATGGTAATAAGATCCCCTTTTCTGCCACTGTAGTGGCTGATTTTAAGCCTAGCGTGATCCAAAATGGACAAATCCCAACATTAGGGTTCTGGACGCCATATTTGCATGGTCCCATCTTCACAAGGGTGGCAGCCACCTTATTTACATCACTAACAAACTAGTCAATCCCCTTTGTGGGCCATAAGCACCTCATACTTGCCTAGTCCTGCTCAGTCATTTGGTGGTAGTTACAAAGGAGCGACAAGGTTGTATTCTTTTACCATACGTATTCAACCTGTATGCTGAACAAATCATCTGAGAAGTTGGGTTCTATATAGAAAAAAGTGTCATCAGGATTGGAGGAAGACTCATTAACAACCTGAAATATATAGAAGATACAGTCTTGCTTGTTGAAAGTGAAGAGGACTTAAAACATTTATTGATGAAGATCAAACAGCACAGCTTTCAGTATGGATTACATCTCAGTGTAAAGAAAACAAAAATCCTCACGACTGGACCAATAAACAACATTCTTATCAACAGAGAAAAAAAAGATTGAAGTTGTCAAGGACTTCATTCTTCTTGGATCAACTATCAACGCACATGGAAGCAGCAGTCAAGAAATCAAACAACATGTTGAATTGGGCATATCTGCTGTAGAAGACCTTTTTAAAGTGTTGAAGAGCAAAGATGTCAGCTTGAGGACTAAGGTGCGCCTGACCCAAGGTATTTTCAATAACCTCATATGCATGCGAAAGCTGGACAGTGAATAAGGAAGACCGCAGAAGAATTGATGCTTTTGAGTTATGGTGTTGGAGGAGAGTATTGAAGGTGCCATGGGCTGCCAAAAGATCCGTTTTGGAAGAAGTGCAGCTAGAATGCTTCTTGGAGGCCAAGATGGCCAAACTTCGTCTCAGACATATTGTCAGGAAGGACCAGTCACTGGAGAAGGCTATCATATTTGGTAAGGTGAAGGGTCAGAGAAAAAGAGGAAGACCCCCAACAAGATGGATTGGCCAAGTGGCAGCATCGATGGACTCAAGTGTGGCAACAATAGTGAGGTTGGCCCAGGATTGGGCAGTGTTTTGTTCTGCTGTGCATAAGGTCGCTATGGATCGGTACTTAC